GATGAAATGATAGATTCATAAACATTCAGAATCTGGAAGGATCTTAGAGATCATCTAATCCAACCCAATTACTGTACAGGTGATGAAACTGAGAATCAGAAAAGGACAGGGCCTTATTGGTGCCAGAAGGAACTTGAACTAATTTTTGTCTACAAATCATTGGTAACTGAATTTAATTCAATTTAAGACAACATTTATTGGTTACTTACTGTTTGCTGAGCTCTGTACTGGGCTAGATGACATAAACATTCTACAGGACAGGGTCTCTGCCATCATGGAATTAACAGTTGAGTAGACTGCATTTTAAGAGGTATCAGAGCTTTCAGATAAAAGGACGAAGCTTGCAGGACAGGAAGAGAGAAGGTAGAATTGCAGTAATGGATCAATAGAAAAGGATTTCTCTGGGTAGCTGGTACCTTCCTCAACCCTGAACGTGTACCGGTAGGTGGTTTTCTGTTGTGTCTATGTATAAGTTTAGCTTGAGTCATAGCATTGTTGCTTTAGCTAAAATAAAAGTCTGGCCACTGTTTAGGAGTCAGAATCCCCACCCATCTGTGCCGTGACTACACACCCTTTCAAAGTTATATAATCCAGGGTTTACAACACAACTGAGCAATAAAAAAAAATGCAGATGTAATCCTTCTTGGAATAGTATAATAGTATAATGGCTAAAATTTACATAGCACTTGAAGGTTTGCAAAACACTTGATATATACTATTTCATTTGATCCTTACAACAATCTCAAAAGCTAGGTATTATTATTATCCTCATTTTTATACATGGGGAAACTGAATGGGACAGAGACTGTGAGCTGCCTTGGGTCACACATCAAGTGTTTGAGTCAGGATTTGAATTCATGTTTTAATGACTCCAAGTTCAGGGCTCTAACCACTCCTGCCTGAATTTGGTTGCTTGAACAGTAAATATTCTCAGAACCACATATCTTCAGAGTTAGAAAGGGCCTCTGAGGTCATCTAGGTCAACTTGGGTAGGGGTCCCTTCTACAATATCCTTGAGAAATGACCATCCAGGTTTTACTTGAAGACCTTCAGAGATCTCCAGTAACAGAGGATGCACTCTGTTATGAAGCTGTCTATCCTAGCACTGGGCAATTCTAATTCTTAGGAAGGTTTTTATCAAATGGGGCAAAAATTTGCCTATCACACATTTCCAACTATTGGGCCTAGTCCTGACCTCTGGGGACTAAGCAAGTCAAATCTAATCCCTCTTCTACATGTCACTTCCTTTCCTTTCCTTTCCTTTCCTTTCCTTCCCTTCCTTTTTCTTTTCTTTGTTGAGTTTCTCCCTTTCACCCAGGATGGAAGTTCAATGATAACTCACAGGACTCATCCCACTTGGCTTTAATCTGCTCTGTTTCCAACTTGGACTAGTTTACTCTTCCTGGTAGCCTGGTGGCCCTGAGCTCCTGGGTACTCACCAAATTAATGTCATTTATTATCCACAATAATAATTAGGACTTTTTTCCATCTGTTGAGCCAAAATCATCCTCCTCCCTGTAGCTTCCACTCCTTATAGCTGCTCTGGTTCTATCTTCTGGGGTCAAGTCTGAACCACCTTTCATATGCCAACCATTCAAATATTTGGAGAGAGCTACTCTTTTTCCCTCCTAATGTCTACTCTTCTACAAGTTAGATAACCTCAGTTCCTTCAGTACAATTTCCTATGGAACGGTTTTGAGTCATTTTGCCATCTTATTTGTGTTACTCTGGATTTACTCTAGTCTGCTAAAATTCCTTCTCAAATGTGGAACCATGTTTAAAATGTTAACTGCTATCTAGCTGTGTTTCTGGGTAGCTAGGTGGTGAAGTGAATAGAGAACACTGGGCCTGGAGACAGAAGAACCAGAGTTCAAATCTGACCTCAGATACTTACTAGCTGTGTGACTTTGGGCAAGTCACTTAACCTCTGCCTGCATAAAACTGGAGAAGAAAATGACAAATCACTGCAGTACCTTTGCCAAGAAAACCCCATGGACAAAATGGTTGATGGGACCCCAAAGAGTCAAATGCAAGTAAATAGCATTCCAATTCTCCTGTTTTAAGGAACAGTTAGGTGGCACAGTGGATAGAGTGCTGGCCCTGGAGTCAGAAGGACCCGAGTTCAAATCTAGCATTAGATACTTACTAGGTATGTGGCCCTGGGCAGATCACTTTTGGAGAGGGAAATGGCAAACTATTCTAGTATCTTCACCAAGAAAACCCCAGATGGGGTCACAAAGAGTTAGACACAACTAAATGGCCTAAACTACAACAGCCGTGCTTCCCCATTTTGTCTACTGAGACATCGAAGGGTAGCAATGAAATCATGGATCCTTGCAGCATTTAAAAATGTATGTGGCATTGGGGAAACAAAGGAAAAAAAAGGTAGAAAGTCTCTCTACCAATGTAGGTCAGCACCTTCTCTGCAATTCATAGTCTTGAGTAGGGGTGCTTAACCTGTGTGTGTGTGTGTGTGTGTGTGTGTGTGTGCATACGTACAATGTGTGCAATTGTGTGTGTATGTTTCATGGACTTCTTTCTGTATCCAAAGCATTTTTAATAAAAAGTTAAACAAAAGGGGGGCAGTTAAGTGGCACAGTGGCTAGGGCACTGGCCTTGGAGTCAAAAGGACCCGAGTGAGCAAACTGTTTATCCCTGATTACCTCAAGAAAAAAAGGCAGGCAGATAGGGGGTGTGGTGGATAGAGCACAGGTCCTGGAGTCAAGAGGACTTGAGTTCAAGTCCAGCCTCAGACTAGCTATGTGACCCTGGTCAAGTCACCTAACCCTGAACGCCTTAAAAAAAAGTCCGATTAAACCTATGGGCTTCTTCTCCAAATTATGCTTTTGTTTTTAAATCAGGAGAGATAGTGGGATCTGAGCTAGGCCTTTAATTAAAGGCTGAATAAATGCATATGAGAGTAAGGAGCCCCATTCACTTGGAGAATTTACTATGTGAAGGGCAGTCATGGAAAATATGACTTGATATGTAGGTTGGAGGTAGGCTATGGAGGTCTAATTATTGCCATCGATGTTAATGGTCAGACTTTGAGCAGGAAGAAAGAGCTGTGGTTAAGAGAAGTGATGTACAAGCAGAGAAGGGACTTCAGTCTCTGTTGTGGGTATAGATACATTAGACTTTTTAACTGCCTTTGGTTAATCCATTAGGAGGAAAGATCTATAATTTTTTAATGGCTTACAGACATGTCTCTATCCCATTTACCATACTATACTCAACTCTTATTTATTTCTGCTAATGGAAGGGTACAGTGGCATGAATAATCTAAAACATTAGACAGTACAAATATAGCTTTAGCTTTCAGATCTCTCTTACAGATTCCCCACCCCAGCAGATTTACCTTTTTAATGCTTTGCTCCTAATTTCACCTAATGTACTGTCCTTTTTATGTACAGAGAGGACACTGCTGTCCCAATTCCAGCAGGGCTTTTACTTTGAGTAGGGATGGATTTGTGCTGAGTCCTTGTGACCATGGTCAAACATCTGAAGGAGTTGTGGATGGTGGTGGAAGAGCCTGTATTTCAACCAACTGAATTAGCAAAGTCTTGCAAATGAGTTGTCATTCCCTATCATCCCTAAAGAGTGGATGATGGAAAGAAGGGTCAGAGGACCTGCTGGTTGGTGGTGGGACTAAAGTGAAGTTAAAAAAAACGTCCCAACAGAATCTACATAGTAACTAACTTTCTCCTAAGCAATGACAATAATGGTAATAGGATCACAGCTTTAAAGCTAGACAGGATATTAAAGGCCATCTAATCTAAGCCCCTCACTTGAAACTGAAGCTCAAAGAGGTTAGTTGACTTTCCCTAAGATCAATCAGAAAGTGACTGGCAGGATTTGAATTCAAGCCTTTTGACTCTAAATCAAGCCCTCTTGCTTGATTTACTATGATTTACTTGCTTGATGTACACTGTTGATGATAATCACGATCATAACAAGCATAGCTCATCCACCTGTGCAGTATCCACATAATATTAAATATATAAAGAAAATAGGATAGTATCTTGTCCCAGAACTCTGTCTATATGAACTCCACTTTAAAAAGCTGAGGATAGTATAACCATAGTAACAATAATAAGTGCACATTTATACAGCACTTGTGGGTCTACTGAAGACTTAATGACAATAATAATTCATATTTGCATGATTGGAGGATTACAAAATGTTTTCCTTAGAACAACCCTTTGAAATAGGTTCTTTGTCATATCCATTTTTGAGATGGGAAACTAAGGCTCAGATTGGTTACCCAAACTCATGTAGATAGCAAGTATTGGAGCTGGGCTAAGCATCCAAGTCTTTCAACTCCAAAGTCAACATGCTTCCCACTGTATAACAAATACTTTTCCAAAAATGCCTATATTCTTGCAATCATTCCCTATTTTTCCTCTCTGCTTCTGTTAAAGGGATAGACCGGGTTGCCTTTTGGGCATCTTTGTTCTAATCCCAGAGAAACATATCATAGAATGTGAGAGCTGGGAGTGAGCTTAGACACCACTGAGACTCATCCCTTCATGCTATAGGTGAATAGAATGAAGTGCTCAGGAAGAGTGGCTTTTGTAATATAAGCAAACCTTTGGACCTCCTGGTGCCATTTAGCAATCAATTTATTTCTTTACCGATTAAACAGATTGACAATGCAGTTCACACTCTATCCCATTGTCAGCATTTCTCTGACACTGGGAACTCTCTCTGGAAGACAGTTTTAACAATGCCACAAGCGTATGCCCTCCACTTGGCTAGAATGGATACAACTTGAGTTTTGACCTGGTGGTCAGTTATATGCACCACCATCCCTAGAAACAGCTGATCTGGGGGTCTTGGAAAAGAAACCCTTGGGTCATGGAGAATAGCGACAGAGCAGATGAATGTCTCTTTCTTCTTGTCTGTTTTCTTCCTTTCCCAGTGGTTGCCAGTTCCTCTGTTAGGACTGTTTGCTATGAACACACCTGACGTAGCCAGGAGGCAGGAAGAGTTTGTCTTACCTGCTGCCGTGGAGATGCCCAGGAATCGACAGAAATACTCCAATCCTGTCCAAAATGCCTGCCACTTCATCGTTCTCCTCGAGGTGGGGGCAGCCAGCCTGGAGAGGCAGCCCAGGCTGCACTTGCTAGCTAGCCTTGGCTCGTGCCTGCATATCTCCCTAGAAGAACGCAAGGACCCGCAGGAGCTCCCACAGTCCCAATGACCTTTCTGAAAGAGGTGTCCCCTCCCATTTCGTTTCCTAGAGGACCGTGCCTGCTGAGGCCCTGGAGGGCAGAGTGGAAGCAAAACAGGTTGTGGCTACATCCAGCCAGCTAATGCCGCTTGGGTTACCTCCCAGAAGTGTGAATAAAAATCACCTTCCCCTCTCTCAGCCTTGCTCCCCCTTCCTACGCTGTCTCAATGATTGTGCTTAATGATTACCTTGTCAGAATTCCTTTCTGAGGCTGTAGCTATGTGCTGCTGGGTACACAGTGGTTTCACCCCCCCCCCCAAGCTTCACTTTGGAGTTGCTGTTGGATTGTAGATCAATCTGATTAAAGGCACATAAACTCCTTAATGCTTGAGGGCAGCTCACAACAGCATGAATTAACCATTTGTGGCTGGGGACAGATTGGGGTTCCTTGTCAAAATCTGTTCATTTAGAAAGCTACACATTGCACCTGACCTGTGAATTGGGTTGGAGCCCGACTGGAGATTATGTCATATATTGGAGTCATACAAGTATGTGTGTGTGTGTGTGTGTGTGTGTGTGTGTGTGTGTGTGCAGGCAAGTTTATGTCAAGGTCATTGTGCCCTTTTATACCTAAGTGCCAAGAGACAGAATTTTGGTGGAGCTATGTGACCTTGGACTTAACCTATTTGGACCTTAATTTTCTCCTCATCTGTTAAAAAAAGAAGGGGTTGGAGTAGACAGCCTTTGAGGCCCTCTAGGTCTGATATCCAGGGATCTGTTGTCTTTCTTGAGAATTTGCACATTTGTGGTTAAGTAGGATGCTCTTCTGCTCCCTTCCCAGGCTCTGCAGTGGCTATAAATTGAGCCATACATTCAGCAGCCATAGAGGAATTCCAGATGCTAGGGACGACTCCTGGGAGCTTAAAAAAGTCAGGTTAATATGAAATGTTGGTGTGTGCTAATGCCCACCTTTGGAAAAATGGGGCCTCAAGGGGGAGAAAAGAACAAAGAAAGACATAGTCATAACTCATAGCATTCCCTTGGCTCTGAAGACAGATAAGGCTGCTGGGGGGTGTCTTGTAGCTGATTTTAGAATTCTGGGAAAACTGTTAAGTATCATCCACAGGATGGGAAATTATCAGGGCCATAAGCCTAACAAGATATTAAGGAACAGATGATACATATTTAATGCAAAAATCACTTTTGCCCTGAGCTTGTCTCTCTGATGGGATTGGCAAGGCACCATTCTGACCCAGACGTGATCAGTTTTCTCTCCTCAGTCTCTGCTGAGTGCAGCCATATCCCATTAGTTGCCAGTCTTGTGAGGGGGAAGGGACAACTTGAAAACTGAATGGTGGAAGTAGATGAGGAATAAGCAAAGGGAGGTGTCCCTTAATCCAGCTCCCAGTGGAGAAAATGTAGGGGCAACAGGAGGCTCTGGGAGGGGACCTGTACTTTCTATTGATGTTGAGAAGCATAGAAAAGACAAGAGTTAGAGAAGCCATGTTCATTGGCTTCAATGTCTGAGGAGCTGTCTTATGGAAGAGGGATCAGACTATTCCTAGTGGCCCAATGGGGCAGAATTAGGAGCAATGGGTAGAAAATAAAGTAAACTTTGGCTTGATGAAAGGAAAAACTTTGCAACACATAGAGCTATACAAAAGGGGAATGTGTTGCCTTAAGAGTTAGTCAGCCTCACTCCACCCCACACTCCATACCACATTGAAGGTCTTAAAGCAAAGGCTTAATATCCTCTTTAAAATACATTGTAGAGTCTAGTATGATGGAAGGAACACTGGATTTGGGTCCAAATCTCGGCAGTAACTTTTCTGGGAAAACTGGAGCAAGTCTTTTCACCTCTGGGCCTCAGTTTCCTCCTCTGCACAACGAAAGGATTGGACTGGATGATCTCTAAGGGCCCTTCTAGTTCTTAATCTATGATCCCCAATGAAATTCCTTTTTTCTGGTATGGCGTAGGCTACGTGGCAACTGAGGTCCTTTTACATTTTGAAATTTTGCGATTTTGTAATCTCGTCCTACCGCCTTGGAATTTTGGCAACCTATCCCAGCTGCTTTGTGGAAGTCACCCAACTCCTTTTCACAGACTAAGAGGCCTTTCTCTATCTCAATAAACTAAGTCTTAAAAGTGGTAGCTTGGTGCAGTGGGATGAGGATTGGCTCCAGAATCAGAAGAGACTTCAGTTTCGATTCTAGCTCTGATATTTATTAGCTGAGTGAGTCTGGGCAAAGCTACCTAATCTTTAACTTTGGTTTTCTCATCCATAAAATAGGAGAAGTAATACTTACTACACCTACTTTACAGCTGTTGTAATGATTATATGAGAGTTTTGACGGAAAGTGTTCTGTGAACCTCAAAGTTTCATGTAAATGTGGGCTGTTACTAATAGAAAGGTGAAAGTGGGTGCCTGATATGACCAGAAAAGCTGCTAAGGATACTATAGTTAATTCTCATTAGTTTGTCAGCCAGACAGCTTTTCCCTCATTCAAGTCTCCTGGGACCAATATTTTGAGGAGGCTGTTCTGGGGGCAGATTTAACATTTTACATCCAATGAGATTTTTAAAATACTCCCTGGGCCCTGCCATCTTCTTTATTTATCCCTTTTTGCATGATTGCTTTTCCACATCCATCTTCTTAAGAGTGGCCTTGCCACTACAAACACTCACCAAAATAATTTTTTTTTCTGGGGAGATGTTTAGGAATGTAAAGTTACTGCCTCCAGATAATGAGTTTCTGTCATTAAAAGAATCCCACATGTGGGTGGGATGTACCGTGTTTTAGCCAGAGTCTCAGAGTCACAGGGCAAAAATCCTCCCTTATGAACCATGGAGAATAAAGAGACTTAAAACTAATTGGACACTTTAAAATGAGCAAGGTCTGAAAGGACAAGAATACATGTAAAGGATTTATACATTTGTGGAGAGTTGTTTGTGCTCTCCTAGGATGTCATTCTTGTATAAATGTCTTCTCATGTTAATGTAAGAGTCTCATATCTCCCAGGGCTTTCAAAAACTTTAGAAATACTATACACCATATTAACTGGAGAAACAACATTCACTACACTCAATGGATCTAAAGGAAGGAGGGAGAGAGAGAGAGAGGGAGAGGGAGAGAGAGAGAGAGAGGGAGAGAGAGAGAGAGATAGAGAGACAGAGAGAGACAGAGAGGCAGAGAGATACAGAAAGAAAGAGACTGAGAGAGAGACAGAGACAGAAAGACAAAGAGACACACAGAGAATTCCTTTTTGCATTATTGATACTACATTGACATACAGAATTGTGGAATGTCGTAGATAGATGGAAGTTTAGAGGTCTAGTCCAACCACCTCATTTTTTAGATGAGGAAACTAAGATCAATCAATAGAGAGGGGGTAGTGCCTGACACATAGTAGGTGCTTAATAAAGACTTGTTGGATTGAATTGCCTAAGTTCACATGGCTAATTGGTTTCAGAGCCATGGTTAAAACTCAATTACAGATGACCAGTCCAATAGTTTTTCCACTATACACTGGTGGTTCAATGCAATTTTACTTATAACCTTTTAATGGCAGTTATTCATTCATTTATTCAACAAAAACTTAATTATCACTTTATGTGAATAATCTATGCTCCAGAGCTTCAGATCTGGGGTCACATAGGTTGGATTCAATCTTGAAAGCTTATTGATACTAACCCTAAGACTTGAATCTCCATTCAGGGTTTGCCCACAGAATATCAGATTTTGGCACCAAGCCCAGGTACTAGGATAGGTATAAAGATGATTAAGCCAAAGTCTCTGTCCTTAAAGAGATTAGAATCTCAGAATTATTGTGCTTGGAATTATTCCTTATTACATGCCTAAGGTTATCAACAACATAGTGAAACAGCCCCAATCCCTTCAGTCAATTGAGGAAATCAAACTGGTTTGAAGGTTTCTAAAGGGTTGGGTTCATGTGTCATTCATTCATTCATTCATTCATTTATTTTACATTTTCGAGGGGCTACTGTATGAAAAGCATTGTGTTGGCCATTGTAGGGGGGTACAAAGACAAACAAGAAATAGTTCTTATCCTCACGGAACTTAGAGTCTAATGGGGCATCATATGAATTTCTACAATACAATGCATTATGTAAGCTGCATCATAGAGGTGGCATGGTAGATTAGAATTAGTATTGGAGTTGAAATGAGAAAATCTGGATTTGGGTTCAAGCTTTATTCACTACTACTGGCTCAGTGGATTTGGGTAAGTACAAATAGAAGACCTAGATTTGAATCCCATTTCTTCCACTACCTATGTGCCCTCTCTGGACCTCAGTTTCTTCACCTGCAAATGATAATAATTGCTGGTATTATATAGTGTTTTTTAAGTTTGCAGCATTTTTTTTGATCTTCATTGCAACCCTAGGAGGTAGGTGCTATTATTATTATCTCCATTTTGCAGATGAGAAAACTGAGGCACAGGAGGCTTAAGGGAATTGTCCAGGGTTACCTAGCTAGTAAGTGCCTGACACAGGATTCAAACTCATGTCTTCCTGACTCCAAGTCCTGAGCTTAATCCACTGATCCACCAAAGTGATCTCAATTAAATGAAGAGGTTGGCTTTGATATTCTATAAATCGCTTATTTACTTTGAACCTCAGTTTCCTCATTTGTAAAATTGAGATAATAATACTTACAGACCCTACCTCATAGGGTGGTCATGAGGATCAAATGAGAAGTTGATTTTACCATTTATAACATTTATAGTTGTAAAATACTATGCATATAGTTATCCCTTCCAAACTGCCACTTTCCCCATCGCAGTTTCTATATATTGCAGGGAAGAAATTAAATGAGGATTTTGGAGGAGTTTTGCAGAAGCCGCAAAAGTCAGCAGACAACACAGAAAAAACTTTAGAAACTCAGAGATGCGTAAAATATGTGTATAGTATTGTATAATATCAACATATTTTATCTTTTAATACTTTATACTTTAATACTTTAAATAATAAATAAATAAATGAATAAATAAAATAATATTTTAATAATATCTTTTAAATAAATACAACAAACACACCCCAAAGTACCCAATATCAACAATAAGGTACTGTAAATACCTCATAAAATAAAAAGAAAAAGGAAGGTAGGGCCAAACAATTTTACGTGAATTTTCCAAATTGTTGGAGTGCCACTCCCCTACCCCCCAGCCATGTGGA